GACTTCAAATATTTAAGAAACTGATAAACAATGGATCCTGGGAGAGGCTACATTCCCAGTCCCAAGCACCAGTGACCTTTCATGGCAGAAGAACTTTAATCATGCCCTCTTGAAACAAAATGTTGCAATATCAGACAGCCACTAAGGTGAGGAATACCTAGTAAAGGAAACACAGTAACGCACTGTCCTTGCCAGCAACCAAGGACTACTGGGGGTGTGAGGCTTGCTGACCTGAAACACACACAAACCGTTTTTAAAAACAAATCAAGCAGCAGAAGGCTGAATCTTCTATCAAGTTTAAATCCTTTTAGCAATTGTGTAAGATTAAACTGTACGAAATTGCTACCGCTGTAGGTCAAAAATTTTGAATATAGGCAAGTTTAGATGATTCAATCTACTAATCGGAGTAGAGGGGCTGCTTCCCCTATGATTGCCTCTATTCCTAAAGCAATGCCATACTTTTACGGAGATACCAACAACTCCTGCAACAAAAATATGAATACCATGTGCTGACGCTCTTCAGGGCCCCGGGGATAGATCAGTGAGCAAGAGAAGTGAAGTCACTACCATTTCTTGAAATGGTAAAATCTTTGAAGGAGGTTTCCTTCAATAAGTGTTAATAAGTATAACAGTTACAATTTATACGGTACTTATTTTGTACTTCTCTGCCCTGTGAACCTGGGAAAGAAGAGTAAAGGCAGAATTGGGAAGAGCCAAGAATGTTCCAGGATCTGAAAGCAGGAGGGCATGGCTGGAACACAGGTGTGTGAAGGCATAACGCTGCAGCTGGGGCTGCCCAGGACAAATCCGTCAGGTCCTGGGAGGACATAGTAAGGGATCTACCCTTCATCCTGTTGGCACTAAGGAACCATCAAGGACGGTAAACAAGGAAGAGAGATGATTCACACAGCACTAGTTAGTTGTTGGCCCCAGGAATACAACTGACTCAGAACTGAGCTCTTTTCATGGACCCATAGCCCCGTGGACGGAAAGCCACAAACCTAAGGGAAATTAGTAAGGAAAGCAAAAGATATCTAGCTTACAGGAAGGCTTACAGCTTCCTAGCAAATAGGGGTGTCTTCTACCTACTTCCTTGCCTGCTGCCAGACCTCTACAGCAATTTTTTTCTTTTTGCTTTAAAAGCACTAGACAAAACTAGAAAATAAAAAGAAATATATTTTGCCTTCATTTCTAATCATTCTTTGCAATCAAATTTTAAAATTGTTGTTTCTCTATATCTTGATTGCTAGTATTAACAGCACAGCCACTATGTGAAACAAATTGTTCTTCAGTGACACCTCTTGAAGGCAAAAGTTGTTGTAAAACGGGGAGAAATTTAATTAAATGGGGAGTATTTTCAGACCTAATATTTAGTTAAATAGCAACTGGACAGCATACTTTAGTAATATTAATCCCCAACCCCCCAATTCTATTTGCAAAGTTTTCTGGTGTTCTATCGCACCGAGGAATGTAACGGATGTGATAAGCTACCTGAATCCCCGTCAGGAATAAAAGAGTCCTTCTTCCAGCTCCTAGGAGTGCCACCAGCACACAGCCCTCATCTCTCAGCCCCCTTTGGGGGTTGCCACGGCTGAAGGGAGCCACCTCTCTCCCCCGAAGCCATCTTCCCTTCACCCTCAGCCATACCCAAGGACTAGTGATGCAGGCTCATAGGGGCTCAGCCCTCTCTCCCCAGCCCCAACCTGCTCCAAAGGGCACCCTGCCATGGTCATTCCCTGCAGGGCTATGGGAGGCTTCTACTGGGTCTGCATCCCACTCAACTTCTCCTTTGGCCCATCCTTCCTTCCCTTCCACAGGTGTTGATCCCATGAGTCCTCCCTAATAAATCCCTGAAAAGGGGATAGGATCCTAGTCGTCCTTGGTCCACACAGACAAGAAACAGGAAGTTCTGTCATGCTGAAGAACAAGGCCTGAAGGTATTTTGCAGGTGGTTTATTATCTTCAGGCATGAGATAGAGAAGGACGAGAAGTAAAACCTGAGGGCCTAGTTATAGGTATGTGGATGACTCAAGTTCTTGTTTGGTAACAGTGAAAACTAAAAAATCCTTCATCTGCTGTTTATTCTTTCCTCTCTTTATCCTCTGTCCCTCCATCCTTCCATCTCCATCCTTTCTCCCTACTGCCACCCCATCGGCCACCCATACACAAGCCCAGTGTGATCTGAAAAGCAAGGTGTCTTAGTCCATTCAAGCTGGCTGTAACAAAATACCACAGGCTGTGGAGCTTATACAACAGAGATATTTTTCTAGAAGTTCTGGAGGCTGGAAGTCTGTGATCAGGGTGCCAGTCCAGTCCAGTGAGGGCTCTCTTTCCAGCTGCAGACTTCTGCTTGTATCCTCACATTGCAGAAGGGGCAAGGGAGTTCCCCTGGGGCATCTTTTGTAAAGGCACTAATCTCCATGAGAGCTCGACCCTCATGAATTAATCACCTCCCAAATCCCCCATCTTCTAATGCTACCACATTGGGCATTTGGATTCGAATATGGGAACATACAGGGCAAAAAAACATTCAGACCATAGCACGTGGCAAAGCTCTCGTGCTCTAAACATAGTCTCCTACTACTGACTAGCACACGTTCATCTTCTTTATGCACAGACTTCACCACTGAAGCCATTCTTCTGGATAATGCAACAGTCAGCAGCATGAAGCTCCTACTCAGATACATGCACATTATAAGGGAAAGGAGGCTTTGAGAGCCTTTGCATATTTTGCCCGTGTCTTTGCCTATTTGCAAAGATTCTTCTTTTCTTTCTGGCTTACTCAGGAAAATGTCACTACGGAGGGGAGCAAACCTGGCAGAGAGTCGCAAGATGGTAGATAGGACAGGTAAGTTTCAGTGGGATTGGACGTCAGCCAGAAGGTCTGGGTTTCTGGTGTTAACTTCCATTCCAGAAGTATGTGGTGGTGTAGAAAGAAATACCATCCAAAAGAAGGGACTATTGAAACCCTGAGTACCTCAGAGAACTATTCTGCCTCCCCCTCAATCTTACCCGCTGGCTGGGTTACCAAAAACCTCTCAGCTGTCAGATCTCATGGACACTCTTCATTCACTGTCTGACCCAACCTTTGAGTGAAATGTTATGTTGCGGACCAGCCCTTCCTTTTAGAAGCCCCTCCACCCTTGGCCTCTGGTACCTACTTCTTTACTAACTTCCTTCTGCCCCACTATAGCTCCTTCTGGCTTTTTCTCCAGACTCCATCCTGTTTTTTTCTCATTTTACGTGTTTCCTGATGAGAAGTGATGAGCTCCTGAACAGCTACAGCAGTAGTGGGGATGAAGAGAAGATACAATGTGGAGGTTACGTTGAAGAGGTTTCAGTTCCATCAAGTCAAACATGGGGGGAGGAAGGAGCCCCTGAGCTGCCCCCCTCCCCAGGCAGCCCACCCCACCGTCAGAGTGAGAAGTCCCTCAGGATCCTATAGCACTCTTGGAATACCTCGGCCAGCCCTTTCCCTTACCCTTGTCCCATGGTCATGTGGTGGTGAATTAGTCTGTCTTTCCTCCTAAACTGTGAGGTCCCCAGTACCTCCACAGAGCCTGACACACTGCAGTCATCCTGTTACTGAGTAAATAAAGGAATGCAGTACTTAAAATGTGTGCAAATAAAAACATAGCAAATGTTGCCATATATATTTAAAATGATCTTCCCTAAGATGCTCCACTGCTGGTTGTGGTATCGAAGTTCAAATTCCTCACTGAGTTCAAGAGAAAGTGAAAACACCACCCTCTTCTTCATCTTATTTGTAATTTTTCTTGACTCATAGTCATCAATGCATAGTTTAGCCCATAATTGTTCTGTTTACGTGACTGCCAACCCTTCAGCAAAGCCTGAAGGCTAATGTCATTATCTCTTATAGATTTTGATATCAATTATATCACCTAGCACGGTAGCTGCTCAGTAAATAGTAAGTGGGCAAATGGATTGATTACTCCTAAACTTGGACCAGCAGCTCCAGCCAGAGGGGTAAGCATTTTTATATTTCCTGTACTGCCCCCACCCTCTCTACCTCTGTCCACATCCCACCAGCCAGCCTGCCCACTCAAGCCTCCTTTCCCTTCCTAAAATCACCAAAATCCAGAGAACCTCAAACTCCCAAAACACATATGTACTTATTCATACTTGTACATGTCTCATTGTCACCCAGATGATCATGTGTTACAAATGCCATATGACTTCAGCTAAACTCTAAGTTCCTGGAGGGCAAGGAATGTGTATTTTTATCTATCATTCCCTCTACAATTTCTTCCAGCGCTACACCACTACAGAAAGCGGTCACCCCCAGGTCCAAAGTGTCAATGTCATTGCAGGGAAACAGGCTTTTTCAGGCGGGTCTGATCACAAACACGCAGAATGGGAGGCCGACAGTCTCAGCAGATGAGCGTTTTCTAGACAGGCTTGTTGTATTTCACATCCAAGCCCAAACCAGGAAGTGTTGCTTAAGATGAGTCAAACACTAAAAACACTTTGGCCTCGGAAACAAAACCGACCAGGCTCCAGAAAGGCTATAGGGGTCTAAATTTGGGACTATTCTTCGGTTTGGATTGGAACCTAGGGCTTCCTACCCGTAAGACGTTTTAAACTTTCAAAATTGCGCCTCCACCCCCCAAAAAAACCCGAAGTGAGATGACATAAAAGACACAGAGGCGAGCGTACACACCTACACAAAACACACACATCTACACAAACACATGCACAGACCAATTTGCTTTTGTGATCCACTTCCCTATCTAGACGGTCCAGGCTTGGGCCAGATTTGAGTTGGTAAATTCTTCTCCAAACTAAACCAGGGCAGGTTGCAGAAAAGGTGTTTAATTCTGGAGATTTTTAAGGAGAAGTGTCGAGGCGTAGCCAGACCACGCCCGGGTCCCGCTTTCCCGTTGCACAACTGAAAGCTATGTCCGGGCAAGTCGAAGGAGGAACCCTGAGACCTCCAGCCCCTCCTCCCTGCGACCACGGGGAGCAGCGGAGTCCTGGGAGGCGGGGAGGATCTCTGGGTGAAAACAACGGGGCCGAGGGTGTTAAGTTTTAGCCCCGGGAGCCCCGGACTGCTACAACGCGGACAGCAGCCAGCCGCGGGCAGGAAGGGGAGGACCCGATCGGGCAAGGGGGAGCCCCCGCGCGGGCTTGGGGCTGGGTCGGAAAAGCTGCCTCACTGGCGCGCCCTCCGGCCCCTCCGCTCCTTCCCTCCCTCCCAGAGCGCCCCGCCCGGGCCTCCCTTCTAGTCTCCGCTGCGCGCTCCCCGAGTCAGCGTTTGCAGCGGCCTTGCCATGTCTCAGCCGGGCCACAAGCCCGCCGCCTCCCCGCGGCCCCCGCGCGCTGCAGCGGCCCGCCATACCCAGGAGGTGAGTGGCGCTCCTCCGGGAGCCGCAGGGCTGAACGCTGGGAGGACCCCAGCCCCGGAGCCGTGGGCCCCCTCCTCTGGGCGTAGCCTGCCTGAGCTCCCGGCCCGTGCGCCCCCTCCCGGGCCGGGGAAGGGCGCGGGGCTCAGGGCCGGCCGCTGCGCGGGTGGCTGGAGGTGGCCGGGTATTCCCGGGCCCCGGCCAAGCGCGCTGGGCGTGGCGCGAGCTCAACAGGGGGTGGCCCGCGTCGGGAAAAGTTGGATGGTGAGAGGTGGGTGAAATGAGGATAGGGATGAAAGGAGGAAAAAGTTCATTTGGGACCCCCCAGAGTGGGTGGGGTAGTTTAACTGGACGGCGGAATCCTCTCTTCCGTGTAAAACCCAGGCTGCAGGGCGTGGCTGCCCGGAGAAATAAAACTTCTTCCCTAGCTAACCTCGAGCCAAATCGGGCAGGGCGGGGCCAGCCGGCGGGGGCGGGGGCGGGGCCGGCTTCGGGCGCCACCCAGGTGCCCTGCCTCCTGACGGCTTCAGGGCTTGCGAGCTCAGAGCTCGCCAGCTCCAAGGCAGGCGAAGTGGGAGCCCCGTGCCTGCCGCTCCGCACCCCGCGTCCTCGCCGGGCTCTCGGCGGCGCATCTCAGAGCACACCACTTGTCGCCATGGCATTCGCAAGCTGGTGGTACAAGACGGTAAATAGGAGCGGTCGTGCTTGGGCAGGAATGGGAAGGGAGTGTGTTTGCTTTGCCTTTCCGGGAGTGCGGATGGTATTGTGCGGGTTTTGGCTGGGAAAGGGTGGGGACCAGGGGCGACCTCCTCTTAGGACTTCAGGTTAGGCTCCGGGAGAGGCCGAGACTCACCCTACTGTGGTATGTACGAGCACGCCCAGGCGTGCGAGTCGATGTGAGCAGATGCAGGAGGCGCTGCTCCGCTCGCAAGTTGAACGGGACAGGAATTGTTGCTGGAGGAATTCCGTCCCTGGATGCGGATTCCTGGATGAACTCAGCTCGCAAGAGCAGAGATCTAAAGCAAAGCTCGAAGCTTTTAGAGAAATGTTCTTGGACATGCATTTTCCAACACAAAGGAGGAGAGACAGCCGGGATGGGGGGCAAGGAGAAAACCCAAAACTCCGAGGAGCAGAAGCAAGTGAGATCAAGACCTTTGTTGAGAATGAGACAGAGAGAGCAAGAGCAGTTCTGTACTTTATTCCACAAAAAATACACAAAAGATGTGATAGGTGAGAATCAAAATATTTATATCCCACTGATTGATGGGAGAATTTCAGAAACTTAGTTTAAGTACACCGCTTTCTCAGCATGTGGTATTGGGAAAAGCAAGGTTATTGTAATCAGACACTCTTTAGAGAAAACCTTATATTGGAATCAGTAAACTGTCCCTGATAAGCCAATGGCCATTACTGAGCATCTACTCTGTGCCAAGACGGGTACTAGCCTCCAAGTACACAGTGGAGAATAAGACGATGGTTCTTTTTCTCAAAGGGCAATGAGTCAACCTTTCTGAACCTGTTTCCACGTTTGTAGAAAGAGGGTTATAATAGGCACCACATAAGGGGTTGTGGGGACTGATAAGATTCATAAATCAAAGTACCATACCCATATACTTTTAATGATTGGGAATTACAGTTTCCCTTTAGATATTTCATTGTAATTGTTTCTCATTACGTTTTCTTATTTATGTGCTAAAAGCAAAAGTTTGCTTTGAGTCATTATTGTCCTAAGGTTCTTATCAAAATGCACCACATGAATTATCTGCAAATATGGATGGCAGTATTTCAGAGTTGACATCAGACTTCGCTTTCCAAATTCATGATTCTCTAAAGGAAATTATGCTGGAATATTTGAAGTAGTTTAAATCAGTGCTTTTAACCCTGTTATTTTTTTTTTAATTTTTTAAAAGATTTTATTTATTTAAGAGAGAGAGAGATGGTGTGTGCGTGCAGGAGTGGGGATGGGGGAGGAGTAGAGGAAGAGGGAGAAGCAGATACCCTGCTGAGAAGCGAGCCCTATGCCAGACTCTATCCCAGCACCCTGAAATCATAACCTGACCCAAAGGTAGAAGTTTAACCCACTGAGCCACCCAGGTGCCCCTAACCCTGTTATGTTTAGGCAGTCCGTCATTTTGCTAAAATCTCTCTTATAATCCAATTTGGGAACTACTATAAAATTTTTTTGCCTCTTAGAATCAGCAAACTGTCTGTGATCAGCTTTGATTCTTCCCAAACCAGTGCCATCTGAAAGAAATGTTGTGAGAGTCACATAGGTAATTTAAAATTTCCTAGTAGCCACATGAACAAAAGCAAATACAGATGAAATTAATGCTAATAATATATTTTATTTAACCCACTATATTCCAAACATTATTTCAACATATAATCAATGTACAAACCATTGAGATATTTTAGATCTTCTTTTTTATATTAATTCTTCAAAATCCAGTGTTCATTTTAAACTTATAGCAATTCATACTTGCTACATTTCAAGTACTCAAAAGGCATGAGTGGCTAAGGGCAATAGTATTGGACAGTATAGCTCTAGACACGGCTTCCTAACCATTTTTGTTTGATAGTTAGGAGGGGGTGATCACGACCATTTTGAGAATTAAATGAGAGCTACTGACCATTTTCCCTCAGCAAAATACACACACAAATACACAAAAGCTCACCCATAAATCCTCTAAAGGTCCATGGAGCCAATTTATAACACATATATTTTGCATATATACAATATAAATTATAATATACAATAATATGATATATAATATAATAAAATTATATAGTATTATATACTCTATAATATAATGTAATTATATAGTGTTATGTGCTGTACAATATATGATGTTATATACTATTATAATAATTATATAATATATAAATATATGATTTATATATTATATATGAATTTTATCATGTATTTTATATATTATATATTATGATATATATATCATATATCTATATATATATGATATATATAATGCTTCTGATAAATCCTATAATTAAAGTATCTTTACTAGGATCCTTTAAATACTGAAGAAGATTGTGAATGACATAACTTTAAAAATCTAGGCAGCATAAGATAAAATAATTAAAAGATATATCTATGATGTTGTTTAAGGGAGTGCTACCTATAAAGCCAGTCAGTGAAACACATTACAATGTATATTTCCACCATCAATATCATTGATTTTATCTTCCAAAGAATTATGTGATTGTAGAAAAAAAAACCCAACAAAACAACTTTAAAAAGCTAGATCTGAAGAACATCAGATGAGCATCGTAATGATGAAGCATGAAGGAGAGTAAATTTAGTTGACATCAGGAATCACATTCCTGAGTCATAAGTTGACTTGATTAGGCCATGTTAATTAAAGGTGTTTCTTAGTCTAATTAGAGCCATGGGCCCAGTGGCAGCATGATCAAGGAGCCCAGTCATTTGGGAGGCCCCATCGTTGTGGCCAGTCTGGGAAGAGTGTCAGAAGCCTTCCTGGCAGGACAAACCCCTTGGCTGCAATGACTTTTAGGAGTAAGGAATGCAAATTATAGAATCTGAAAAAAGGGCACAGGCGTTAGAGTGTCTGGGAGAATGGAGGTCAGACACAACTTTGCCCTTTTGGTTGATAGTTTCTAAACTGGTTTGCTTCCCATTGCAGATAAGACTTTTAAATTAGGAGTAACAGCTCATGATGTTCTCTCATCAGTTTTGGCACTTCCCAGAAAGTAAATTATATTCTACAAGTGCTTTTTAAAGAATGGTGTAGCTTGCTGGGGCTGGAAACATGGGTGGCCATTTGAGATTCTAAGGTGAATGGGTAGGCATTTACTTCTGAGTAGGTTGTCTGGTGTAATACAAGACTTCTCGAAGCAGCCCATCTTTATTCTCTTCTTTTCCTTTTTGTTTTGTTTGTTTGTTTAATTTTTATGGTGGTAAAATATACACATAAAATTTGCCATCTTAACCATTTGTAAGTGTAAAGTTAAGTGGAATTAAGTACATTCATATACTTCTTTTAAGTTTTATTTGTTTAAGTAATCTTAAATATACCCAACATGGCGTTCAAACCCAGGACCCCGAGATCGAGAGTAGCACGCTCCTCCAACCGAGGCAGCTGGGCGGTGTGTGCACTTCATATTGTGCAACCATCACCACCATCTATCTCCAGAACTCTTTTTATCTTGCAAAACTAAAACTATAAAGCCATTAAAAATAAATCCCCATTCAGTTTATATAATCCGCTTGAATACATGGCACTGTGTTCAAGTATCTGTGTTGCTTTTTTTTCATATTCTGTTGTAAAAAAAAAAAGTGTATCAGGTGTCTTTCAGTTAAGAAAAATGTGAAATAACTCCCTCCAGTGAACACTATTTATGTAAGTTGCCTTCTCAGTTGGAGGAGGTGTTTATCCCAGGGAGAAAAGAGGTCTGTGGTTAGAGTTTCCTTAAAAAAGTATGGAATTCATTTTGACTGTTGAGAACTCATAGAGCACAAGAATAATTTGGTAAAGGCCAAATATGTTCACAGGTAATTATTGTTCACCTACTACATGTCAGGTTCTGTGAAGAGTTCCGTGGACATAGCAATTGTGCATTTCTCATAGATAAAAATCACAAGTGCATCCTATTGACTTCTATAAAAGCAACAAAGTAACTATTGAAATTCTCATGGCATCTTCTTTGACTTAGAGAAAATTCAAAAAGCCTTACTGCAGGTAGATCCCAGAAGCTGAACTTGGCAAAGAGGCAGTCGATGCTACCTCTGAAAACTGGACAAAAGGGGCATGCCCTTAACAGTGTCATCTTGACTTATCCATGAGAATGTTAAAGTGTTAGGAAGAAGCATACATAGAGTTTAGGAGAAACATCGAGATTTCAGAATTATGGCCATGCAGTTAATCCTTAATATGTATCTTTTATAGAATCCCAAAGAAAGTTATCCTGTAATTTTAGAATTTGATAGCAAATGTTTTTAGAGGAGCAGAAAGATATCATGTATTAAC